ACGCTGTAATGCTGGATTTCTCCGGACTTTAAACAAGCCAGGGATCAGCATGCTCCTGCCCCACTGTAGCAGGCAGCACAAGGCAGGCGGGCAGCACCATTACACTGTCCTGAGGGAGAAAATGTGCCGCAGACATGCCTCAGATGTGCCACAGACATGCCTCAGACATGCCGCAGACATGCCTCCACACTCTGCTCTTTAAAAGAAATCCTTAGTGCTTCTGTCCCTCCCCAGTTTCGGTTTGAAAAGGAGCTGCAGCTTCTCTCGCCTGTGACACTGACAGGAAACACGGACGCGTGGCCAGGGCATGCTCGTGCCCCAGGGCACCAGGCTTGCAGGCATGGGGGACACAGTGCCCTCGCTGCCCGGCCACGGGGCAAGCCTGGCCCCACGGCACTGACATCAGCCCAGCAGAGAAGGGGAGCACAAGACTGAGGACATGTTTCTGCAGGGACGGAAGATTTTGTTCTCATGAAAAACTGTGATGGCCAGGGTCATCCCAGCCTCTTTAGCTCAGCCTCTGACCACTTTTTTTCACTGGGGTTGCTATCTTCAGAAAACATTAATGAATAAACCATCAAAAGCCAGAAAGCAGAAGCCATGGCTAATGGTCTTTGAGCTTCTTCTGAGTTTAATACCAGAGCAATAAACAATTACAGTAATAGAAATGAGACCAGGCAGCAAGCGAGCAGTCGCTGGGAGCACCAAGCTGCTCCTCCATCACCTGGACAGTCTAGTATTGAGACAGTTGGTCCCTTGCTTCTATTTTTACATATTCCCTTCTACTAGTAGCAAAAGCAATAGCTATTAAGTGCCTGGGGGTGCAGACATGTTAGGGGCACCAAGAGGGTGTGGTGTGCCCTCGTCACAATGCCCACAAAGGTGCCCATGGGAGCCATGCTTTGCCTGCTCTTCTCCTGGTCTCCAGCCATGCCTCAGGACCATGGATGCTTCCACAGTGCTGGGTGCATGCCTGACCTGACACCCTCTGCCCCATGGTGGGGCCAAAGCATCTCTGAGCTCACATGAGAAGCTGCAGAAAAGGGAACCGTGAGCTTATTCCCACAGCGCACACACACAAGCACAGCTGTGGTTAAGCACCAGCTCTGAGGTATTGCTCATTTGCATCATGCACTTACCTCAGCCGCTTTGATGTCTCACGTGAAGTTATGGTGCCTGGGGTGCCGGGAGCTCCTGTTCACCCCAGGAGGACAGGTATGCCCATGCTACTCTCTGGTGAACACGACCACTGCCATCTAGGCAGGCTGGTTGGCTGCAGGCTTGTCACTGCTGCCTCCCTGTCCCCACCATGGCCAGCTGAGCCAGCAGCAGCATGGCGCCCAGGGGACCTGGCCCCACTCATCCATCATTGCCTTCCCAGGAGCCAGTGAGGGCTTGGGGGAGTCACGGGCTGGGAGGACACCTGCACCTCTTTAGGCACTGGGGAGGCTGCTCCTTCCTTGGCTTACACCTTTGTGTCATTTCTGCAAGATGGGGCATGTCCCTGTGTGCTACATGGTCAGTGCCACCCCTCAGCAGCACCTGTACCATCAAAGGTGGCAAGCTTGAAAAAGGCAACTCTTGCAGCTCACCCAGCATGTTGGCGAGATGGGCTTGGGCTGCTCAGACATCGCAGCACACAGGGTGAAAAAGCAGCCACTGGCTGAGGCCTCCTCGGGTGACCACAGCACATGAGAGCAAAGCAGACCCAAGGGGGGTGATGCCAGCAATGCTGATACCTCTCTGGAGTGAGAGACAGAGCTGACCTTGATGGGCCCCAAACAGCCCCCAGACTGGGGGTTTGTCCCTCGGGGTCACTGCAGATGCTGTTAGGTGCAAGCCAGCTCCAGCTTAGATAACCCGGGACATGGACTTGTTGTCTACAATGCCAAAGCTGGAAATACATCCACTACTCGCACACCAAGTCCTTGGGAGCTGGAAATAGGTGACTGTGGTGAGCCATAGCAGCCACCATGCAGCAAGTAACAGCCAGGCTGAACGAGAGCCTGCAAAACACAGTGCCTTCACAGTGACAGCTCCCGGCGTGAGGTGGCCACTTTCCACCAGCAGCTAGTGACTGGCAGTGGCTGGGCTGTGCTCGGACAGTTTGTGTGTGTGTGTGTGCGCACACTACCATGTGTTTGTCTTTGCCTCTTTTGTTTTTTTCCATCCGTGGGCGTCCTGAAGACTCAAATAATGTAAATCACCCCCGTCACTGTCCAAGCAGGGCGAGGGGAGCTGGAGCCCACAAAACCGCAGGGAGCGTGCGAGGCCAGAGGGTGCATCTGCCCTGCCAAGCACTGACATGTCCCTCTGGCACTGGCCCATGGAGCCTGTGCCCACTGCATGAGGTTGGCCCAAGGGATCTCATCTGAAAGCTCATCTGAAACAAAAAAAGCTAAATCAAGTCCTTGTGTTTGACTGGGAAACTCCAGGAAAAGGCAGAAGACCTGTCCCCGGGAGAGGATAAGCGGTGAAGCCTTGGCAGTGGTGATGGGCTTCCCAGCCATCTCCACACCCTTTGGAGGGGAGACTCATGGTGCCAGCAAACCACAGGAGCTGCTGCACAACCACACACTGCTCCTGGCAGCCAGGTGCCTGAGCAAAGGCTGCCCCAAAGCCTTTTTGGGGTTTGGAGACCAGGTTCTAGCATTCCTTCCTGTCTGCTCCCCAGATTGGCTTCTTCAACACTCTTGTTCAATATATTAAAAAAAAAGGGCAAGGAGTACATTCCCACCCTCCTGTTCTCTCCCCTCCAGGCCCAGTTCTTGAGCTCCCCACATTTTTCCCTTGGGAAAAAGGATGCAGAAGACTACAACATTGCACTGACTGTTTTGGAAACAGGATGCCTGTACTCGGGTACAGCACGAGCTCTGCTTGACTGCGTCAGCATCGTTGGCTTTCGCAGCCAGCAGGAGTGAAACTGAGAAAGCTGAAGTGGAGGGATAATGCAGCCAGCATACCAACAGCCCCGGGACGTACAGCTCAGCCTCACAGGGGGCTGTAGGAACAAGCAGCAGCACTCCCTCACCATTCAAACATGGGTCAGCAAAGGGAGCCGTGCCTCCTGTGCCTTGGGCTACACCTCCACCAAGTGCTCCCAGGGCGTGGGAGCAAAGCCAATGGACAGCCATGCTCTTGCTCCCCCTTTTCCTATCTTTAAGAAGTACAGTAGAGAATGGATGAGAACAGATGGGACGCTGGTAGATAAGCACTATTCTGAAGCCATTTATTATGGAATTGTTCATTAACTCTATTTATTATAGAGTTAAAAAACAGACTTGCCAACTTAGAACAATCTTCTGGTGAATTTTTTGGAGAAGTTGGGGGCAGAGGCAAAAATAAAGCAGGCTGAGCTGCCTAGTGATTTCTTTCTGGTGGGAAAATAGCATTTTAGTGAGAAATGAAAGTTTCAGTGGAAAAAAATCTGAAATCTTTGCTTTTCCCTAGAGCAACACAGAGTATCCACTACCATCAGCATTTCATATAGTCTAATAACAAAATATTAATCTCTGAAAAATCAAACCTACAGTTCACAGAAGGGCTTTGTGGCAACCTCCTACAGTATACAAACAAGCACCTGCTGATGGCTCAGCCAAACCCCGTGTAGACCATCTGCTTCCGAGATGACAGAAATACAACCATCCTGGAGACTGTTCCCTGCAGTGACTTTACTGCTGCAGTCCAGCCCACGTTGAAAGACCTAAAGGAGGCTTTTCTGTAATTACCTGTGGCAGGATGACACCTTCACAAACTGCCAGGGAAGGCTGCTCAACCATGGCCAGCCTCTAGGGATGCGAGAGCAAGCTGGCCAGCTGTGCGTGTGGAGGGAGGAGTGAGGAAGGAAAAGAGGAATGGGCCTTTGCCTGCATGCATTGCTGACAGGACTTGGGCAGGAGCACTGCCTCTGCACTCCAAAACAAGGTCTAAAACCCTTCAAAGGTTTGAAAAGGTTATGGGTTGCTCCATGGCAAGGGCAGCAGCCCTTCCTGTGAGACAAAAGCAACCCCAGCTCCTTCTTTCTTCTTATCAAAATGGAGTTTCAGAAGTGGCTGTCATTGCACAGAAGCACATATCTGATTGTGGGAGCTTTTAAATTTAACAAAGACATAACAAAACCCACCAACGGGAAACTGGTTTCAGAAATTCAAATGGAAACAATACTTTTTAATGATAACCAACAACAAGGCAGTCATTAAGCTGATGCCTGCCATATTTCTGAGGGAGCTCTCTTCAGAGATGATTCCTCTGGAGCTTACCTGGGCACCAGATCCAGCTAGAGCAGAGCAAGCTGCCGAGCATCCTCCCAGCAGGACATTCAGCCCTGCTCCTGGGCCAGCTCCCCAGCTGCTGGCCCCACAGGGCAAGGGTAAGGACTAGACATGTGGCAAAGGGTCTGCTCATAGGCCATGTGATGGGGATGGCTCTGCAAGGCACACCCGAGCTGGCAAGGGGGCCACAACCACTCACTGCAGCAGCAGTTTCAAGTTCTTTTCCATGCACTAGAGGGAGGTCAAGGTGCCAAGCAGGGCCCCGGAAGCAACTTGCACTGCTCAAATTCAGGAACATTTTTTTCCCCTCACTTAAATGGCCCTCAGGTAGAACAAGACCCCAAGTCCAAGCCACCACTACTCCACTCGAGTTTCCTCAGACTGAGGATAGTCTGCAGTCATAAAACCCCATCGACCTGATGTTATCTGGAGACACAACCTCATTTCCTGGCAAGAAATGAATAAAAAATTATACAAAAAATTTCACTCGGATGCACTTCCGAGTGAACAATTATTCTTATACAAGTTTTCTGTCCAGATATAACTCGATGCTGCCTCTGCCTTTTGTGATCTAGAACAAAGAAATTAATCATCTAATCAGGACCTTGGACTATAATCAAACTCAGGGCTGGAGGCATTTTACAGAAGCAGCTCAGTGGTGGCCAGCAGCCTGTAAACAAGAAATCTGCACTGTGTTCCTGTCATTGCTACACAACCCCAGCCAGAGGTAACTGAGGTGCCCTGATCCCAGTGTCAACTAAGGTCTGTCCCTGTACACCTGAAGAAGGCAGACACTAGTGTCTGTGCCCGGACTTTGCACACTTTGTTAACTCTATTTGCTGCTGTGCAAAGAAGCCTGAGAGGTGCCAAGTCTGCAACGGTGTCTGGAACACACAGAATTATCTCAAGGTTTGGCAAATACTGACCTCAAGGACATGAAGGGTGCACTTGCCTGACACAGCCTGGCTTGCTGGCCTGCCCCAGGCTACATCCACAGCTACACATAAAGTTTTCTTCTGCAGTAACTGTGAGGCATGCAGGTAAATTCTTCCCCTCCTCCTGCCAACCAGACCACACCAATAATCTCACTGGTGAAGAAAGGCAATGCCACAAGGAAACTTTTTGGCTCTGAGAAATTATTTCCTTCTAGGAGGCTGCTGAAGCCCTCCTTTAGCAGCATGAGATGTGCCTCTCACTGGGAGGAAAGCTTGCTGTCATCATGCTACTGCTACAGCATTCCTACAAACCCTTCTGCATGTCATTTCAGACCAGCAGGATACATCCATCAGCACCTACAAGACCCTGACAGGGAACAGCCACCACACCCCCTCTCTGCAGTTGCCTTCTCAGAACTGGGCAGGCAGCCCCTCTTCTGTTTGATGACATTGGACTGCAGAATAGATCACACTCTTCCACCCCAGGAGCACAAAAGGAGGTCACCTTTCTTGGTATTGTTTTTACTTGGCTGGACACCAGAGCATTTCTGCAACCCCAGTTTGGGGCTCTTGGGTATTCACAGTTAAGGACACAAATGCAGTATGTGTGGTTTCTTCTTAAAGGCAATCTCATTTCCTCATTTTTCTCTCTTTGCCAGAAATTTCCTAGAGGTCAAGTAGGAGGAAGGTGGTACAATATCACTAGCTTAAATTCTTCTCTATTGAGAAACCAGAATTTGCATTTTTAGGCACTGCTGGCACATATGTTGGAGAACGGCTTGCAGAGAGCAAGGCCATAGCTCCCTGCAGAAGCTGATTGCAGCCATCTGAGGTAAACAAAGGAAAAAACCCAGGGTACAGTTATGCTAACAAAGGACTGTTATGTTAACAAAGAGAGAAACTGAGGTACATTATGGCCTTGTGTATGATAAAGGAACGGCCTTGGGAAAGAAAGCAGGCCAGAAGAAGGAAGGTGTTGTGACATGCCTGAAATGCCACAAGGGGCTGGGATATTATAATGTAGCCTTTTACATGTATCCAATAGATTTGTGAGTAGTATGCATGATTATTGTAGAGTGCTTATACAAGGTGTGATTTCTTTCAATAAAGTTGAAGCTTACTCTATCATTCACACTGAATCGGCTGCTTGCTTCCTCAGCCCGCCGCACACATAGGTTTTGGCCCTCAAACAGAGGAGCTGCTCTTTGCATCAAGTCCAATCCCAGATTTCTACGCAGGAGGATTTTATGCTAGGAAGGAAAAACTGCAGCAACGACCAAGAAAGTTCACCTCAGCTGCAGAAGAAAGAGTGGGAAGGTTGGGAGGGGATATATGAGCAGTTAAGAGAAGGGTAGTGCAGTGCATGTTTGATAGCAAGTGCTATGCTCCAGATTTCTACTGTGAACCACCAACGAGAAGCATCTTTCTTGGTCACCAGTCTTGGGAGCAAGAGTTTGGCTATTTGGGGTTGTTAAGGAGGGCTACATTCATATCTCCAGGATCCTCCTTGGCACCCAGCTGGAAAGGCTTGGTCAGGCTTAAGCCAGGTCTGATAGCTGGAAGTGTCTGAAAATTAAAATATTTTCTTCCTGCATCCTACACTCCCAGGGGCATTGACCACATCTTGAGATCAGATAGCCATCTTCACCCAAACTCAGGCCATGAAGTGAGCCTGATGAAGCTCTCAAGCACTTTTTTTCCCCTCTTCATGTGATGGCTAATGGTTTTCCACTGCAGTGTTAGAAGTTGAAGCTAAAAGCACTAGAAGCTCCCAAGTAGTAATTTTGAGTACATCACACAGTTCCTACTGGATTAAGAATGCAGGATGCAATTCTAGCTACCAGGGATGTGACAGATGATGTCTCATTCCTTCCCTTCTGTCTTTCTATACAATACTCTTGGGTGAATATAACAAGTTCTATGCCTAAGCTGCAGCGAGGCACAGGACTGTGGAAAAAGCTTTCAGTGGTGAAGACCACTAAGCAGCACGACAGGTTGCTTAAGATAAATGTGAAAGCTCAGTGGCTCTTGGGGCAGAAGATAAACCCTTCCAAACTAATTTCAGTGCCACTTTGAGCTGCTGCCTTGAAGTTCAGCAACCTTACTCATTTTAAAGGGCTGGTTACTGTAGTGAAGACAGACGTAAGTCATGTCACAGCAAAAGCCACCAGCCTAACAGCAATACATATCAGTGCCATCACCCTGCTCCCAGGGCAGGTCTCCAATAACACTGGTCAGCGATTCAGAGTCCAGCTGGCTGCTGGTTACTAGTGGCACTCAATACTGGAGCTTCTTATGCTTTAGTATCTTTGCTGCTGACCTCGATGATAGGATGGAGCATATGGGCAGCAAATCTGCAGATGACACCAGATTGGGAGAAGTGGTTCATACACTGAAGCTGCTATTCAGAGGGACATAGGCAGGTCAGAGAAATAGGCTGAGAGGAACCTCAAGAAGTTCAATGGCAAAATGCACAGCCCTGCCACTGGGATGGAGTAACTCCCTGCAGCAGAACAGGCTAGAGACAACAGGCAAGAAGGCAGCTTTGCAGGAAAGGGCCTGGAAGTGTGGGTGGACAAGCAACCTACCAGTCAGCAGTGCACCCATACAGCAAAGGCCAGCTGCTAGCAGAGGCACAGCCAGCAGGGCAAGGGGAGGGATCCTGCATCTCCTCTGCTCAGAGCTCCTGAGATCCTCTGGAGAGCTGGGTCCAGTCTGGGTTCCCCAGCACAAGGACAGTAACATACCAGAGCAAGTTGAGTGGAGGTGATCAAGATGGTTTGGACTAGTGCACACAATGTATAAGGAGAAGCTATGAGAGCCGGCTTTGTTCAGTCTGGAGAGAAGTCAAAAGGAGATCTTCCTGTTATCTGCTACTCTCTGATGGAAAGCCACAAAGAGACACACAGGAAAAGCTGGAAGGCAACAGGCACAGGCATAACATGAGAAATTCTGATGAGAGCTGCAAGGAAAACCTTCACCATCAGCATGGTCACACACTGGAATAGGAAATGCCACCATTTCTCTGGTCTCATCTCTGGAGACAGACAACATGCTCTAACTTTGAATTTAGCCCTTCCTTCAGCAGGGGGTGGACAAAGCAGCCTCCAGATGTCCCTTCCAGCTAAACTACCCCAGATGTCTACGAAGCACTACTTTCTCACGAGACCTCACACTTTGTGGGAAAGTGCATTGAGCACATGTCCCTTTCAGTTTTCCGATCTGTGAAATGGAGCTGACAAGATTTCCTTATTTAAGCCTTTGTTATCTAGCAGGTGTCCCAAATAACCCACTTTTTTCAGTGTGGAATAGATGACTCAGCTCTTCAGAGCACGAGGCTGTCTGTAGAACGTTCCCCCAGCACATGCAAGCAGAATAAAGTAGCACTTCTTGGGCTATACTTAGTATTTTGTTTCAGAACACACTTGTGATGCTGTTGGAGGCTGCGTGCTTTCTTCAGATCTGAAATCCTCAGAGCTGCCCCAAAGTTTCTAGCAAACAAACTTAATGGTTTCATTTTACACCAGAAGCATAACAATTATCTGGGAAATCCCCCTCCCACACCCCAGAGTCCATACTTTGGGTGACTTGATGATCTCACCACACAGAGTTACTCAGGTTCAATGTTGCTTTTAAAAACTGTCATCTAAAAGCCACTGGGGTCAACTTTTAAGCTAAGGCTCACTCTGAACATCTGCATATGCTTAAATACAGAAAAAATGGCAGTTGAAAGGGACCAAAATCTCCTTCTCGTCTCCCCCAGTCCCCCTAACCACATGCTGCTATACCTTAAGAGACATGATCTGCCAAGTACAATTGTTCTCATCCTGCCAGGCCCTGCTGCAGTTCTCTGCTGTTGCCTTGCCCAACTTCTTCATAACCCTAAAATGGATTTCTCATGATGAGAGCCACTGATACCTGCACTGGCACTGCCTCTTGCTATGCCTGACTCCACAGCACATCCCACAAGGTGATGCATGAAAGCCAGGAACACAGTGACAGCGGCACAGCCCCTTGCTACAACTCTGGTCCAGAATGAACAGCCACGGGAGTCAAGAAATGAAGTTATGACTTGCGGAGAAATCACTCTATAACTGTGGAGTTATAAAGTGGGTATGTTTATTCAGTGCTGGGCGCATGGGTGATCGCTCCACCACAAACATGCGCATCATTTGCAGCTCCCGTCCGGCTTATATGTTATAAAGTAGTGCATATTCATAAAACGCCTATACATATACATAGTCTAGCCCTGCCTCCCCTCGCTTCTCATGGTAATCAGGTCTCCTCCTCTTGCGCCTGCACAATGAGCTCTTCAAGCTCCGGGCTGGGGTCGCAGCTTCCTGGGGAGGGGTCGTATAGATGAAGTACCTCTTCTTCCTCGCTGATGAACTTTTCACCCTGTCGTTCTGCGCAGCCTCAGTTGTTCTCTGGCTTCTGTCCAGATTGCCAGGCCAGTTTGTGCTGGTGTTTGGGGTAGTCTGTTGCTGATACCCACAACTTCAAGGACCAGAGGAGACTTCTCTTTGGGCTAGGAGACAGTAGCCTAGCAACGTTATCAGCATCTGGTATGTCTTTGCGACCAGTCCCATACGCCTCCCTTTGTTTTTGCGCAGGCCTTGCACCATCAGTCTAAGATTGTTTAGACTCCCCGTCTCATTTATAAAAAAGATAACTGGGAGGAAACATCAGGGACCTGCACCTCCTTCAGTCCTAGGGGCACAGTAAAGAAGGAAACTGCATGGGAAAGGGGAAAGATGGCAGCTCTCTTATTCAAGTACTTCCCAAACAGAGGAAACTTACTTAGAATGGAGGGGAACCACAGGCTTCCCCTTTCATATTCCCACAGAGGAAGCTGTTTCAATTGTACTACCTGGAGACACAATAAGCCAAGTCATCCTTCAGCAGGTACCTCCATAGGTGTGGTTAAAAACAGGTAGTATAGTAATTAAGATATTTCAATAGAGTTCTCATGTCATAATAAGCCTGTTCCCTTTAGAATCCGAGGAGCACACAGCTGACTGAGGAAGACAGAAGAATGCTTGAACCACAGCAGGTGCAATTTCCCTTCTTCCACAGTGATCTGCACACCTCCCCAAGTATGGCTGCATATTTTTACAATGAAGTAATACAAGACACCTTGTTCATGCTGCAAATCCAAGGAGTCTGCAGCACTAAGACAGTGACTTGGTGCATACATTTGGGAGTTGCTGGCCCACCTTGGGGATGGCCAAGCCACCTGCTGGGATGGCTGTTGTTCACTGTGCTGACAGCACAGAGGTTGCCTCCAGTCATAGGTCCAACAGCTAGAACATCAGATTGCAACTACTGCAGGACAGGGGTGAGCCAAGGCCTAAGCTGACAAGAAAAATTACTCACAACCCTGATTTTATTGCGTATTTTGGTAACTGGTGAGATATTCCTACGACAGCTGGCACCTTCATGTTTTGTGATGCAAAACAGTTTAAAAGACAGGCTAGAAAGGACCTTTTCTTTTTTGCCTTGTTTACTCAGCACTTCTAATCAGAAATTCCCCTGGTAGAAGAGGAACAATGACAGCTTACAGAATTGCTCATCTTTATTTCACAAGAGCCCACCCTGTTTCCAATTAAATGAATGTGTGTTGGGTTTGGGTGTAGAGGGGCTTTGGTAGCAGGGGGAGGGGCTATAGGGGTGGCTCCTGTGAGAAGCTTCTCAAAACTCCCCCAGCTCCAAGCGGGACCCACCTCTGGCGGCCGCGCCTCTGCAATAACATATTTAAGAACGGCAAGCTGAGAGGAGTTGTGAGGGAAATACCTCTTCAAAGAGAGGTCAGCTGAAAGAGGAGGAGGAAGTGCACCAGAGCAGATTCTCCCACACCCCTGGAGGTCACCAGTGGAACAGATGCAGACCTGCAGCCTGTGGAGGGCCCCACGCCAGAGCAGGGGGCTGCACACAAAGAAGGCCAGGAATCCCTAGAAAGCCTGCACTGGTGCAATTCATCACTGGAAGGACTGCAACACGCAGGAGGGACCCACACTGGCGCAGTTTGGGAAGAACTGCAGCCCTATGGGAAGGACTCATGTCAGAGAAGTTAATGGAAAACTATCTTCCACAGAGGGAACCCCACGCTGGGGCAGGGGAAGAGTGTGAGGAATCCTCCCCCTGAGGAGGAAGGAGCAGCAGAGACAGCGGGTGATGAACTGACCAAAACCCACAACCCCCATCCCCTGCACTGCTGTGGTAGAGGAGGTAGAGAAAGCAGGAGCAAAGTTGAGCCCAGGAAGAAGGGAGGGATGGAGGGAAGGTGTTTTTAAGATGTGGCAATTCTGCTCACCATCCTACTCTGATTGTTAAATTAAGTGGTGGTGGTGTTTTAATTAAATTGATGTTTCTCTTTTCTTCCCCTAACAAGTCTGTCTTTTGCCCATGACCATAAACAGAAAGTCATGCCTCCCTGTCCTCATCAACCTCAGAGCCTTGTCTCACTCACTCCTCTGAGTGAGCAGCTCACACACAACAGAATGGAAAACAATGCTACCAACCGCAACATGCGTTGGAGAAGGCCTCTGGAGAAGGAGCTCAGATGGGAAACTACCCGAGAGGGGAGGGCAGGGAGGAAGATTCCCTGTGCTTACAAAAGAAAACACAAAACCACCTTATTTAAGACGATCTCTTTCACTTTTTTTTTTTCCTAAAAAACAGTCTTTGCAAACAAATCTGTTTCTCCTTTCCAATTCAGTGGGATTGCTGCAAGCACTCCATGGCACATGACTCCAGGAAAGCAGAGAAAGTGTACCACAACTCGTATTTCCATAGGAAAGTTGACTCATAACTTCTGTCATCCTTGAAATGCTGACACAGGTTTGTAAGAAGCATCTGAATGTCAAGTCCAAGGAACAGCAGTGTAGCCATCTGAGGCCTGACATGGCTGCCTCTAGCACAGCAGAAGGCCCTCCTTCGCCGCCAGGCGCTGGCGATGGATTTTATCCTGCTGTAGCTCTTCATGGTTTGGATGCCAGAGTTTCATGACAATTCTCTCAATGTTTAGAGCGTAGACAGTGTGTGCTGGAATAACTTCTTTGTGTACCTGGAGATACACATTAGAAAACAATTTTCATGCTTTTGTACACATTTCCCCATGCTGCCCGTGGAAGAACCTCCCTCTACTATAGGATGATCAGAGCACCAGCCCCACAGGGCAGGAACGCAGGCTGCCACACACGAGGAAAGCTGCCACTTGTCAGCACTGCCATGCCAGCCAGCACAGAACTACCACCTATTACGCCATTTTGTAAGGAAGTGACATGGGAAGGAAATCATCATTTTGCTCTTGCAATGACAATAATTTGTCATCAAAATATTACAAACAGCAATTCTGACTAAACACGAGCTGAATGCTTGATGACAGCTCTTACGGTCTGCATCCACAGCTATGAGACAAAATTCCAAGGCCTGTTCACAATAGCGGAGATCAAGGGGGAATTTTCTAACAGCTAATTTTAGACATTCAAAGGAATCTGAATGTCCCCAGACCTGGCAGAGGGGGAGGGAACCACAGGCAAACATCTCCACAGGAAGGTTCATCCAGCCTATCATAGACACCTCCACAGGGCTGAGGGAATCGTAGCTAACCCAGTGCAGCAGCCCACATGACAGGACCAAGTATTCCTCAAAGTACAAAGGTAGAACGGGAGGAATAAGAAGGGACATGCCAGCCAAGTCATTCTGCTGCATCACTGCCAAAATTCCAGTCTAGCTCAGCTCCAATATAATTGCTTGCAGTCTTACTACAGAGAAAGAGGTCACCCTTCTTACATAACCAGACAGGGATTTCCTCATAAACTCTGACCAAGGGGAGTAGGACAGGCATTGAACCATTAGCTGACTGTATGTTAACCATTACCTGATAGTGGGAACAAGTCAAAGCCAAAGAACTGTCAATTTGAAAGGCAAAGGAAGCATTGTAGTAGAAATCAAATCCCCCTCCATGCATATAAACCAAAGCTGAGGCTGGTAGCTGGCACTCAGGACAGCACTGCCTGTGACATGACAGTGTAATATGAACAGCTCACCTGTAACGCCTCAAACAGGTCATACATGTTCACCGGCGGGAGGGATGCTGGTAGGGTGTCTCCAGAGCAGGCCAGGAGCAGAGCTGCCTGCTGCTCAGCATCGTCAGGCGGGGGCTGGGGAGCTAGGCTCTGGCCAGCAGGTGTCGCACAGGTTGGAGGGCTGCAGGCAGAGCAGACAGTAAAAAGAAAACAGCACCAGCTTTGGAAGTCACACAGTAGGGGCCTGGCCCCAGGTCTGCCTTTTCTGTATCAGTTGACTTAGCCTTTATGTACATAAAATTATTTCATCTGTAATTAAAATGTTTTAAATTCCAGTTTAATAAAAATAGTGTAAACTGATCCTCAACATGTTTCAAACATGCTTAACTGATCTTGATTGGGCAACTTTTGTTATTTAGGGTCAGTAGTTTCTACCCAACATAAAAATTAAGACACCCACAAGATTAAATTGAAAGACACTAGCCGTTAGGCAGAGTTGTTTGGAGTGGATTGCATCTGTAGTGTTTATAGTGCTATAACCAAATCTTAAAACACCCACGACCTCCTGTCAACTGCTAGAAGCTGCCAGAGACAAAACACAACTGCCTTCTCATATACACACACTGCCAGATGCACAGCACAAGCTGCTCTGACACTGAGACTTTGGAAAACATGATGACCTTGAAGCTCTGTGAACCAGAAAGGCATGCCAAGGAAGCATAAGTGCATTCAGGTGCAGGAACTGACAGGATGGCAGTGTCCTGCAGGTCTTCACGGACACTTCACTCCTATGGCACAACAGCAGCGCCCCCACAAACACAGAGCTCTTCTGCCCAGGGGCAGCTTCCCCGAGAGCAGCAGAATTTCTGCCTGCCTCACTCCAGCTTCCAAAAAGCACTGATTACTGAAGACATTCAGAGGGCCAGGGGTCACCTTCAAAAACTGATGGACAAGCACAGGCAAGGAAGAGGCTTAACACTGCCCTAAACTCCACTCCTGAGAAGTCCCCATATTCTCCCTCCCTGCTTAGCCGTACAGTCCTCCATACCAATACCTTCCTATGTGTGAAAGCTAAACACCACAATTAACAGATTCTACTAAATAAAAAGAGAAACTGAACCATGGAGTGACTTCGGGACTAGCAAATTGCATTTGAAATTAGCAGTGTACTGAGAGCTCCTTACCACTCAATTAAATTGTTATAAGCAACAACACTGTTCTTGAGATATGGCTGAGGGTTAATGTTGCTTCCAAAGGCGTACTTGAAATGGCCATCTCTCAGACGATAGGCTTTCCGCCTGGATATCACAGATGTCAGAATATCCTTAAGATGGTTCTGCAATGAAAAACAATCTTATTACACATGCCCATTTAGTCACTCTACCAAGCCACAGCTATGAGAAGTGCCTCACCAGCTGGCAGGACAGAATTAGTGCTGCTATGACCACAAGGACCTAAAGACGAAAGAGAACCAAGATCCGCAGAAGTCACAGTACATTTTCACCATAAGATACAGCTGGATACAGAGACCACAGCACTGTGTGAGTACGGTATGCATGAGACTGTGAACTGTACTTTAATATGTCATGTGGTACTTCAAATGTCAGAGGCTTTTTAAATGCTAGGAAATTCCCAATCTCTGATCCCTTTGATCAACAGTTAAGAGATTTCATGATTGGCACTAGATGTTACACTTGTCCTGAAATACTGGCCCTAAAACTAGTGAAAAGCCACTCTTCTTTTTCAGACTGTTCAGTTGCCTGGGAAGTGCTGCAGAAGCAACTGTCTGAAAAAACAAGCAGATAACTGCTTCTTAATTTGGCCTCACTCCCAGATGGGGAATTCAGGTTGGCCTCCACATCCTGGCTCCAGAAAACCATCCACACACATCAATGCCCAAGTAATGGCTGTATCACTCCTGGGATACATCAAGTAATGCACCACTGATGGCCAAAACCAGCAAGGGCAGGGACTTCACCTGCAGGTGTTACCAGATTGTCTCTTTGCTTCCATGCCAGATACTTGCGCCTGTAACAGATTATTTTTTATACAACTGTCTAAACTGGAGCTCCCGTTCTGTCCCTGCTTTTAAGTGACAGGAACAGCATTTTCCAAAACTTTGCCTAGAGTTCTTCATATGCAAGTATTTAAAAATTAACACTCGCAGGCAGAAACCCAAGACTTTACATCTATGATGCCACAAATCTGGAAGCCTTTTGATTCTCATCTTACCACCCCCATGGCAAATGGACAATTAGAGAAGCAGGTTTCCTCTCCCCATATGGCGCACAGAGCCTTTTGTTGCAGGTGTAATGAGAACACCACTGCTGGCCAGCCCAGTCTCACCTCCACAGCATAAACAACTGCGGTCACTGCCTCCTCTGTGACATTGTCTAGCCCGTGCTCATACGCAGTTACGATCATCCTTCCTTCTAACTGGCCACGTGTAGGAAGCATCATGGTATGAGAACACAGCTTCAAATCATCATCCTCCTGAGGATCCTTTGCCACAAATTGCTGAGCTCCAGACAGTGGATTCTGAGGCTGGAACCGGTGCTGTTATGAACACAACATTAGAGCATAAGAAAGTAAGTACTCAGAACCTTCGGGTCATCAAGCCAAACATCCCTTCTACAGTTGGAAAGCAAGCACCTTTAAAGACAGTATCGCAGTAGGACAAGCAGAGTGATATTCCTCTCCAGGATACTCTCCCAACCCCCAATGAATTGTGACTGAAGAAACTGGAGCCAGTGTTGGTATCTTCTTATTAAACAGCCCATGAACTTGTCCAGCAGCACCCTGAACCACCTAAACTTTGGGTATCCACAGCATCCTGGAGCAAGAAATTCTACAGTGTAGCAACGCATCACAAAGAGTCACCTCCTCTAGTTTGCTCTGCTCTTCCCAACTGTTAGATTGTTTGATTCTCCTTTATGTCACTGTCCTTTTTGTCTCTGCTCACACTATCCAGGCCAGTTATGAGTTTATGTACCTCCACATCTCTCAGTCATCTCCTTCTGTGCTGAAGTCTCATTTATTATTATTTATTTAGTCATTTCTTGTATACAAGGGTGTATTTTTACTTACTAACTGTACAATTTCCATCATGATCCTAAGCTTGTGTGATTAAGTGATTCTTACATTTCTTTCAAGCTTCAAATGCAGCAACTTTAGCTAAATTCCAGTTCCAAATTTCACACTTTAATCTCCCTGTGCACTTTCAATACTCTAAGCAGAGCTGTGTTACTGAGCAGCCACTGATTGATAGATGGATTATAGCTATTTTTCGGAACTGACTCGGTTATTTAGAAAAATGTCCATCACAGAACAGGACATGAATTCATACCAGAAGGTGGCAACCATCATTTCCCAGGCCTCATGTATTCCAGCACAACTCCCTTGCTATGCTGGTATCTCAAGCTCTGAGTCCCTGTTGTGGCTCCCAGGAAAAGACTCAGTCCCCAGGTAAAGCAGGGAGAAAAGCAGATGGGAGCAATTGATCCTAAAGCCCAGACATGTGCTTGGCCCAGCCACAACCCACAAGGGAGCAACATGACCCTGGATCATCAATTACTCCCACAACTCCTGTTCCTCAACTCTCCAAGCCACAGATCAGGTGGCTCTGGAATGAAGATTGCTGCAAGGTTCTTATGAAGAACCTTGTCTTAAGAGGCATAAGACAAACACATACTTTAAATATAAACAACAAATATACAGCAAAGTGTATTTCTCACATCTTAGTTTCAGGAAAGGAAGGGAGGCTGCTTTATTCAAAGGACAGTGTGGCATTTAACTCAGAGTGAAAAACCAATCCACCCACTAATGATGTGAAACCAGGTTTCCCTCCCCGTAATTCTGAAGATTTATGCTTTCATTACAGGAAAGCTACATGCCTGTATGCCTGGAAAAAAAAAGACCTTCAAAACGTAAGCAGCTATTAGAGGAATGTGGTTTGGGAGAGCAGAAGCCAACTGGAACAAACCTGTGGTCATTCACAGCTGTTATTCGGACTAGTGAGGGAAACATCAGGAAATAGAGGCACTTCAAGTTCACACCACTCAGGAATTCCACTAGTAATATGCTGCTAATAATAACATATACTTCATACAGAACTTACTACCCAGCATTCCAGTAACAAGCATACACACTAGAAATGTGGTGTAACATAGAGATATCAGAGTAAACTAAATTCCAAGATTTCCACTATGTCATGACCTGCTTCTCAAACTCTCCTCCATCTGCCACTGAAAAGCTATGGTGAAGCTTTAAAACAAAAACACAGTGCAGACTGCCATCAGAATTCAGGCCACAGCTGTGAACACCGCAAAATATTTCAGCAGTTTCTAAATACAACGAGCCTTCAGCTGGACTTGCATCCCTTTGAAACACTAGGTGAAGCACACACATAGTGCCTATTTATAGTCCCTATAAGTGTGGTATGCACTTCGGCTGAGCCAAGCTAACCTCTCACAGCGTAAGAGAGTGGGAGGTTTTGCATGGCTACCTTTCTCCCCTATTCCCAGCCAGGCTTCCTTTGTGCTGGCTTTGGCATTCCTCCAAATGAATGATCCAGCTGAATAAACCAGCAAGAAAAACTTGGGGTTTGGGGTCTGTTTTGCTTGGTTAGTTTTCTGCTTTGTCAGAGAATTGAACCAGATCATGAAGTGCTCAGACACATGATAAATCTGGCTCAGAGACAGACACTCTCCCTTTCAACAATTTCAGTTTGAACTGCCTTATCAAACCCCACCCATGGAAGATAGCGCCCCATCCCGATTCTCCTTCACACCAGGCCCCCTCCACACTGGTCTGGCAGCACAGAGACAACAGCAGAATGTGTGGCAGTACCAGATGGACGTACAGAGCCTTCGCTGCAAAGTGAACTGGATCTTATATGTGTCTCTGCCACCTAAGAGAAGACACCATCTTTTCAAGGCATTTTCAGTTCTGAAACAAACTGACCCTCTAAAAACATTCCACACAAGGAACAACTTTCTTCTAAGACTTCAGATTTCAGAGTTCTGGGGCTGGGCAGAGGGGAATATCATAGGATGATACAATCATGGAATTCTGCCTAATAGATGCCTGGATAGATAGGAAAACACTTTTGCCTCAAGAATTCAGCAGATACATGAAATGAACAAGGTGTTACAGAGAATATGAAAGGTGATGGAGAGTATGAAAGACCTGCCCAAGTGTTACTGCAGAGATAAGGTTACTCCTTGCTGCTTCCTGGAATACAGGCTTTTGAAACACTAACATTTAGGTGTTCCCTATACTCTCTGGTGTCTGACAAAGCCAGGTCACACCATAGGCTTTCTCCCAAAAGGCTTCCACAAGAGAGGCAGCAGCCACTAACCCCTAGTTCTTGCCCCAGTCCAGAACTCAAAACAAATGAGACATACATCATTGCACGTGTTAGACTTTCATCATTCCTGGGAGTAACCAAAAACTACACGCTGCGCAGAGCTCTTAACCCCCAACAGAATGTCAGAGAGCCACAACCATTTGACCACGGACACTTACATCAAATTTTTGTCGAACTGAAGAAATCTTTTTCTTTCCTTTGGGTTTTCCAGGTTTAGTTGCAGAGCCCCCTGGCCATGGCAGAGATCCAGCACCTTCTACAAATTGAAAAGAAAAAAAACCCACTCTATAGCTGTTGCTGATTTAGGACCAGGATGAAACTGTCCACACAGAAAAACCCTTAACATCTGGTCCCCAGCTAAGTCTTAACCCAAAATCAACAGCCATGGCCCAGAGAAAGGACTTCTCAGGGGAGAATGCTTTTGGCATTCCTTCCCTTCCTTTCCCAGATCCCTGCTAACTTGACTCACTCACAACCCGTTACTTAAGTAGAAATTTCTGTCCACACACCGCACAAAAACGCATGGCGGAAGGAGAGATATGAGCACAGCCTCCAAGGAAAGCAACAAGGAAGGAATAAACCATTTATTCCAACGGGAAAATGACAGGAACTTGTCTGGAGGGGGACTCTCCTCCCAACAACTCCTGGATCAGGTCAGATGCTAACAAGCAGGATCAAGCACTCTGACTCATTACATCTGCCCTTACAGTTCCCCCTGAGCTTTAGCAATCTTTGTCTTGGACCCTTGTTAAACACCGCAGCCGGTCATTCTCGTTACGCTGAGGGGAAGGGAGCGGGGGGGTGGGTGAAGAACTACAAAGGCCACTGAGCCCAGGAGCAGGATGACACCAACATGAGCAGCGAGCTTGTGACTGACAAGCAGCTCAAGGACATTACTGTGTAGTATGGATAAATAAATGATACATTTGGCCACCTTGAGGAGACTGCTTAAAAGTCCACTCTACGCTGTTTGACAGCTACACCTACGGTAGGCTAAACCACATCCTGATAATGACAGAGCTCTTGGCAGGGACAGTCTAGCATATTTCCTGCTGGTGGCTCTGCAGATTCCATACACAATTTCTTCAGGTACATTGGGGCTTAAGACAACACTGTGCTTGATGCATATGTGCCTACTGACAGTGAACAAGAAGTGCAACCCAAAGACTGGACAGCCCTCTCGTGGCTACACAGGCAGCCTCTGCTTTCTGTCACCAGTATCCTCCTCCCCTAGTTTTGCACAGTGAGCAAGCACCCTTTTTCCTTTGGAGCAGAGCATGCCCTGTGCCAGGCTCCCTGCCCACCTCCAGGGAGCTTGGACAACTCAGCTCTGAAGGTACTTCTGTCGCCTTCGAAGTGGAGGCTAGAGCTCTGCTGCCAGGCACTATGGACAGCACAGCAATGTCTCAGATGTTCCCCAGCTGCACCTGAGCCAGCATTGCCATTTCCTCTACACAGGGACAAGAAGTGAGAGCAGCCATCCCACAACTTGGCCAGCCTCAGGCACATTCACCAAGTACTGACAAACCACCAGTTCTGGTACCACAGGCTGCCACGGCTCAACAGCAGCTTCACACCAAGCTGCATGTTTACCTCCGGGTCTTGCACCTATGTTTAATTTACTGTAATCAGGAATTCATACAGTTATACTACAGCCCTGTTTATAGGGAATGAGACTGTCTGGAAGTCCTTGGCTACGTGGAACTTCCCACACTCATGGGTGGAGCACAAGCATAGTGTCCTCTGCCATGAAAAAACCCTCCTAAAACATGACTTCAAGGATCAGTTTAAACCAGAGGATTCAGGTGAAATTTTTGAACAGTCAGCTGCTAAGAAGGGCTTAAAACAACCTATACACAGAGATGATATATTCTCCCTATTAAAAAAAACTTTACTCAAAAGTTTAGCTACATCCTATTAGTGAGGTGAAAAACAATAGTCTACAACAAACCACTGTCAAAATCCACCCGTCAATTACAGAAAATTAAAAGGTAATAAATAAACCCTCTCCAAAAATCATTAAGCTGGTGTCACTACTCATCACTACAACATCACAGCAGAGGCTTCAATGAGGGGGTGTGGGAAAGCACCATGGGCAATCACCCCAAGGACCACTCTTGCCCTTCACTGAGATCTCAGGACTTAGGTCTTGGGATCTATAAAAATAGCATTACTTCTCTCACAAGATGTTTTGCTTTTTACAGATGAGTCCTTTCTTCCTTTTTGTCTCCTCCATAGCAGGTCAGACCCCTTCTAGGCAGGGGGGATTAGGTGTGTTAAGAACAGACACAGCAGTTACCTGGCTCATTTCACAGGTTGAAATAAAAGCATCTCTTTAGCTTGCAATGTCACCTCCCCTCAGGCCCCTCCTCCTTGTCAGAAGTCTCACACAGCTCCCTCGCAAATACTTACAAAAATATCCTTACCTGAAAAACACTCTAACTGTGAAGCCAAAAGTATCCTACCTGCGTGACCAGGTGGTGGAGACAGAGAAAGCGGAATGGATGGAAATAACAAACACCACTCTTATCTGACAATGTATTACAGACGAATAGGTTATAGCAAAGTCTGAACTTTTAAAACACTATATTTTTGTACAAATAAGACAAGTTTTAAACTGAATAGCAACTAAATATTTAGGCTTTGACAGTAGATCTGAAAGATGCAATTTAATTGAATCTCAACCTGCACATTTAACAAAAATTTAGCCAGACAGCTTAGTACAAGGAAAAGATGGAGATACTATCTCCTATTTCCCATTATAACGAGCCCAGAGCAGATTTTTTTTTGGCTCCTTTTCCAGGTTTTCATTTTACCAAGCCTGATTTGTACTAGATGAAGAAAGCAAAATTTCCCTCTAGCATTCTAAGAAAACCAGTACTTGCCTTCCTGGCCACAAATGACAAGGGGGTTGGCTCAGGCATGAATCGTGCTAGCAAGACAATTAGGTGTTAACAAGCCACTGAAATGGCTGCTGATGTGCCTTCAGAGATGAGTAACAGATAAGAATGTTTTTCTAAGAGGTGCTAAGGTCTCTGCAGTGATGGCACCAGTGTGTCAGGTTTTCCTGACGTGGCACACAGGAGGAAAGGACAAAGATGAAAACAGAGAAAGTCACGAAAGAGAAAAGCAAGCCAGGCACAGGAAACATGCATTTTCCCACCCTCGCTTAGTGTGATCTTCAGTTGGTCTGGGTTTTTTATCTCTTGTTGCAGGGACGAGGGTTTAGACAAGTAAATTTTGATGACATTCCTCTGTCAACAACTCACACTCCCATTTTCTTCCCTTTCCAGCTGAGAAGCAGAACACAAGCAACCTGGGCCCGTCTCACAGTTGGCAGCCCTTCAGCCAAAACCCGTGGGCCACCCTGACACAGTAAAATACTGCTATCCTTGCAAGAGTTCTAATCCCTTGAAACATCTCTTAGTTGGTTCCAGATTGCTAGTAAATAAATTAACTCCTGACATCACTAACTTAAATTCTTGCAATTGTTTCATCTTAATTGTTAACATTTAGCTAAGGAGGGAGGTAACAGTTCAAGTGAGATATGTATTAACTCAAGAAACCTTGTTAATTTGATTGCTTGCAATAGTCCAACAAACAAGGTAAATTTGGTGAGCAATCCATGCAAGGTTAAACTGGAATTCCTCTTGATGGAATTTTGGGGGTAAGAAAAGCCCCCGACATAAAAGTTCAGAAAAGCACTTCTGAAAGTATTGATAAAAATAGAATACCAAAGAAAATAATTTTCTTGTAGTGGGAAGTGTGCCACATGACTCAGGCTGGTATAGCCAACGTAAAATCACCATTAAGGCACTCTCTAGTATTTAGGATATCATGTTTCTGGTAAATTCCTCTCTTCAGGCACTTTTACAGCTTCCCAGCTATGTTACAGCTGGCTGCCACTTGAGCATTTATGGGTGTCTTTACATACCTGACTACCACAAGGAATCTATTTTTAGAAAGGGCCGAGAAGTCAGATTTAGGATTGCTCAGGATCTTGTTGTGCCATCAGTGGGAGCTCAGCAGGAATTAAAGCAACTCATCATTTTCATATCGTTACAGATATGAGCTTCCCTCCCTCTCCACCACCAAGCCCTAAACACCCCATGCCACACAGGCTCTTGAACCAGGATTTGAATTTTGAGTGACCAACAGCCTAAGCAGGGGAGGGGGAAACTGAAAGTGTTCTCACAAAGAGTCACATTCAACCTGAGCTCCCCTATGAGCCCAGGTGGAACCACTGCCACCAGAGGCAGTAAAATTTGGATCAGATGGGTTTGTCTGCATGGTTCAATATGTTATAATCACTCCTTAAAAATATCTTCCCTAAGGTTTCCTATTCCAAATGCCACAATATCAAGCATGCTTTTAACACTGACCACACGATTATTTTTTTTTTAATACAAAACAGCATTTTAAATATGGTTCTTTCCCCTTGTCTCTATCACACAAAAGTGGAAAGTATATGTAACAGTAACCCTTGTGATGGTGTGCCAAGTGCACCAAGCACACTTCTTTAAAGTTATTTGTTTCCATGAATCATGAAGTAAACACCTTCTACCAAAAAGACAGTGGTAGAGACAAAAGCTTATTAGCTTTCCATTCTTACATGAGGGGGGGTGGGGAACAACAAAACCTGAACAGGTGTCAGACTGGCATCTGGGGGGAGAAAAAGAAAACTAGACCTAATATCTAGTATTTCGCTTGCACTACACTTTCCTGGACTTGCACATACAATCTGCTACGCCACACACAGCAGACTGGCAAGTGAGATGTGTGTGTGATAGATCTACCAGTCGGTGGCCCAGAAAGAGGTATCCTAGTACAGATTAACTCCAAAATTGCTGGGAGACTCTGCAGTGATCTGAGGAGAGCAAAGGAGACTCTAGAAGAGACTAGCAGTATGTAGTTAACTGCAGAGCACTAAACCATGTCTTTAAGAACATGCATAATTAAACATTATTTTCAAGATGGCTTATGCAGATCTATGGACACAGAGCCAACACAAGCCAGCCTGAAAGCACTGGAGGCAACCAGCTGGTCAGCTAGCACTCCATTACATGTTGTCACTGATCTGCTGGAGCACTACAAAGAAGGGTTCTTTGGGGGCTCTTAAGAGACCTGGACAGGCTGGAGTGATGGGCTAAGGTCAACTGTAGGAGTTTCAATAAGGCCAAATGCCGGGGGCTGCCCTTGGGCCACAACAACCCCCATCAGCACTACAGGCTTGGGGAGGAGTGGCTGGAGAGCTGCCAGTCAGAGAGGGACCTGGGGGTGTTGACTGACAGCCGGCTGAACAGGAGCCAGCAGTGTGCCCAGGTGGCCAAGAAGGCCAATGGCATCCTGGCTTGTGTCAGCAATAGCGTGGCCAGCAGGGACAGGGAAGGGATCTTACCCCTGTCCTCAGCACTGGTGAGGCCACCCCTCGATTCCTGTGTTCAGTTTTGGGCCCCTCACTACAGAAAGGACATGGAATGACTCGAGTGTGTCCAGAGAAGGGCAACAAAGCTGGTGAAGGGTCTGGAGCACAGGTCATACGAGGAACAGCTGAGGGAACTGGGGTTGTTTAGTCTGGAGAAGAGGAGGCTGAGGGGAGACCTCATCGCCCTCTACAGCTACTTGAAAGGAGGGTGCAGAGAGCTGGGGATGAGCCTCTTTAACGTAGTAGTAAGCAGTAAGGCAAGAGGTAATGGCCTCAAGTTGCACCAGGGAAGGTTTAGACTAGATATTAGGAAGCATTTCTTTACAGAAGGGGTTGTTATGCGTTGGAATGGGCTGCCCAGGGAGGTGGTGGAGTCCCCATCCCTGGAGGTGTTTAAGAGTCGGGTCGACATAGTGCTGAGGGATACGGTGTAGTTGGGAACTGTCAGTGATAGGTTAACAGCTGGACTAGATGATCTTCAAGATCCTTTCCAACCTAGGTGATTCTGCGATTAAAGAGAGTAAGCTTTAATGGGACAAGAGGAAAAGTCCTTGAAATTAAAAAAAGGTCAGGCAGGAAATAATGAGTATATGGAATGCACCTGAAGAGCACCACACTGCCTTGTGCTAGGGCTTGTACTTTTAACACATTCCCAGACAGCCTTGAAAAAGGGGCTCTTGGGGAGCTGATAGAGTTTGTCACAAATCTGAGCTGTTCAAGCCAGGGAAGATGAAGCCTGACTGGATGGCTGCAGAAGAGCTGCACAAGACTAAGTGACTGGATAAAGAGGCAAATGAAATTCAACACAGTTAAGCACAGAATGGTGCACGAAGCAATAAACAACCCCAACTTCAGTCACACAGCAATGGGCTTTACCCTGACTACTGCCATTCAGAAACAAGACCTCTGAGCTATGATCTCTACTCCAACGCTTGTATCAGCTCAGTGCTGAGCTTGGAGAACACAGGCACTCTCTCCCTCACTGTCCTAATTTAGACTCGGCTACTTCAAGTAGCACTCACAGGGGAATTCCTGTTCTTGTGCTTTCTTTTTATAATCCAGCTGTAACTAAGTCAAAAGCAAGGAGTAGCAAGATTTAAACCTAAGTCTTCTGATTTACGTTAAGTGCAGACTGCTAAAGACGACAAGTCTGGGACTCAAAAGGTGTTTGTAAAGTTCAAAAGCAAACAAAACAAGTTTGGAGGTGGGGAAGGGAGGTATTTAATTAGCAAGCTGGTATAGTTAAGGACCAGCTCCTGCAAAAAGCTGTGGGTATCCATAATTAGGTACCCTAATAACAAGTATTCTCTCAGTCCATCAGAGCTGAATTCCTCTCCTTTACTAGACCAGCAGTTTCTTATCTTGAATTGTAGCTTAACTGTCCTTCTATCAGAGCTCTAGATTGGGAGTCCTTCTGAAGACCAAACAAAACAGATCTTGCAACCCTGACAACAGCCATCTTAAATGCTTACAAAGTTAAAAGGTTAACTGTCTGCAGAAGGTTGAGTTAATTGGCCATAGCTCAATCAATACTCACTGTAAGCATTCCCAGTAAGTATTTTTCTATCAGATACATACTTGATTTCAAGATCAGTCAGGAATATCCAGCTCCCCAAAATGATATCCCCAGCAGAGAGAAGAACAAAGAGCATCACCAAGTTCAGAAGAGAAAGGAAGCTGCAAGCAGATCAAAGACAAAGCAGCATCTCACTTCACACTTCAGCTTGGAGATCTGAAATCAAACCAGCTTATCACACACAGCAATCCAGCATTAGCCTCCAATCAAGCACACACAGCTTATTTATAAAACTTCTCTGCTGAAATCAGCTGGATCACTCCTTTGCTACCCTTCTGCCCATGCAACTAAAATCATGAATATTAAGGCTCAGAAAATTGGAGTGCTTTGTACAAAACCTAAACATATACATAGCAAAGCGTTACTACCCAATTGTTTTTAACAAGGCTTCTCGGGACTTACCTGGTGCAGAAACCAAGATCTGACATCGGGTAAGAATAGCCAGGAGGAAATCGTTGTGAGAGTGGACTGTGTAAAAACAGACAGTTCATTAGCACCACCTCAGCGCCCAGCAGCACCCCCTCAAAGCGATCTTAAAGTAGCTCGCTACACCTTTCCACAGTTGTGTTTTCCCCACATGCTTAGCTACACAGGAACAGCTTTCAATTTAAGTTTGAGGTTTTTTTCTACTGGACACTGAATCTGCTACTACTACACTAACAAAAAGGATACTACACATGGCACAGAAACAAGTTAGGTCACTTCTCAGTGTGTGCAACTGTCCTGGCTTCAGCTGAGATAGAGTTAGTTTTCTTCCTAGTAGCTGGTACATTGCTGTGTTTTAGATTAAGTGTGAGAATAATGTTGATAACACAATGATGTTAGCTGTTGCTAAGTGGCATTTATCCTAAGTCAGGTACTTTTCAGTTTCCCATGCTCTGCCAGCAAGCAGGTATCCAAGAAGATGGGAGCGAGAATGGCCAGGACAGCTGACCCCAAGTAGTCAAAGGGCTATTCCATACCATAGAATGTCATATATATAAATTGGGGGGAGTTGGCCAGGAGGAACAGGTCGCTGCACAGGAACTGTCTTGGCATTAGTCAGCAGGTAGTGAGTGATGCAACTCTGCATTGTGCATCACTTGTCTTTTCTTGGATTTTATTTCACTCTCTTTTTGTTATATTCCTTTTCATTACAACTATTATTATTGTTATTATTATAGTTTATTCTATTTTAGTTATTAAACTGTTCTTATCTCAACCCCTGGGTTTTACTTTTTTTTTTTTTGATTCTCCTCCCCATCCTACTGGGAGAGGGGAGGAGTAAGCAAGTAGCTGCATAGTATTTAGTTGCTGACTGGGGTTAAACCACGCACATATAAATCCAGCCCTAAAGCACACAACATGAAACAAAACATCTAGTGCATTCAGCCAGTCAGATGAGGATCAGCTGCCCTGCTGCCACACAAACTTCTGGTAGCAGGGATTTTGGTTTTGCTAGAAAAGGACTACTAAGAGCCAGCCCCAAGAAGGTGAAGTCATACAGGTTCTACATAAATACAACTTCCTCACAGAAGGGTTACTGGAACACTGAGTGGGTAATTACACATTAGAGTGAAGACAAACTTCATAAGCAGGGTCAGAGGGTTACAGGATCCTCTCTGGCCTTTGAACCCAAGCACCAACAAACTCCCCATCCTTCCCCACAGGGATCACAACCGTGGAAGTCAGAAGCCCCCACAAAGCTCTTGGCAGTGCCCATCAATGTTTGCAGACCCCCCCAGAGGCAAGGACAAAGGAATCTCACCCTTCAGTGCTCCAACCTGCCACCCTCAAAGGCCAGGAAGGGGATCTGCCTGCTACAAAACTGCCTAGGTAAATTCGGGGGTTCCCTCCCCCACCTCAGACACCACACCCATTCAGCCGCAAGCAAAGGGAGAGTGCAGTAGGGGGCCTCTACGACAATTTAAAAAATAGTATTTTGGTTGCCAGGACAACATATTTTACCTTTTTACCATATTTACACAGAGTCAAATTGCCTGTCAGCGCCATGACCACAATGGAACTTCTTCCTGCAGGCGAGGGCATGTCTCACATTTTTAATTCTCTTGCTATCAGAGCCGTGGCTATTCTTATTTCCCTCACAACAATCACCCAGTTCAGGAAGCAACGTGCAGAGGAGAGGAGCTTCCCCCCTAGGCCTGGCAGGGGCAAAGCAGCATTAGAGCCGGCAGGAAAACGAACACAGGGTGGCTTTTTACCATTGTCTTGCGTGAGAAGCCTGCGTGCTTCCAGGTCAAACTCCTCCTTACTTATCTTTTGCTTGAACCAGAGCTTCAAGTTGGCCCAGTACCTAGGGAAGAGCGGGGAAGGTGCAGACACCAAACGAAAAGTGTTGTTCCTAAACCCACTGCCTACCCCCACCAGCGCGAAGGGGCCCAAGGCCGGGCCAGCACTGAGGCTTCTGCACAGATACGGTACAAACACGCAGCCCACTGAGAGCCGGGAGAAGACGAACGGGCCGTGCAGCACCCAAACCCGACCGGACACCCCCCGCCGTACTCACTGCTTCACATTCTCGCCCAGAGCCTCGCTCAGGCTCTTCTTAGCCGCCTCCAGCTCGCTCACGTACGTCGCCATCACCGCCGTTACCTGACAGACAGACACCGAGACCTCCCCCCTCCACGCCGCAAACCGCGGCGGGAACCGTAAAGCGCGGCGGCGCACCCCGATCACGTGACAGTCCGTC